CAGGACTGGAGACAAATGCTAAAGTCAGGAATTTTTCACGTTATGTTCTGAAAAAATAAAGGTTTTTAGCAACACGATGAATTACTGTATTTGCCAATTACATGTAAACCTACCAGAACCAGAGTATCTTTCTGGGGAATCAGCCCCTGCGGGAGCTGAGCCGAGGGCTGCTGCGGAGAGCTGGGCTTGCTCTGGCTGCGTCTGAATGTCGGCAGGCTCAAACGGGCTCCCTTCTGCGGACTGCTGCGCCTGCATGAGAGAGACGTAGAGCTCCTCCAGTTTGGGCAACGTGGAAGAGTCCAAAGAACTCTGTAAGTCTGGTTGCTGCGGAATGGGAAAAATGAGGCAAAAGCATGACAAGTAACTGTAGCATCACAGAAAGAATTAAGCTTGTTGTTTCCTTAATTATAAACAAAAGATAGTTTTCCTATTATGAAAAAGTCCTCGTGTTTAAGAACCTAGATATTCTCTAGAAAAACAAGTCCTTCTCTAACTTAATGACCATCGATTCAATTTAAAAAAAACATTAATTGAACACACATTATGAGCAAACATGGTACCATCTGTCGCCATGCACAGCCAAGGAAGATGCAGAAAATGCGACAACATTCCCTGAGCACTCAGTCGGGCATGGTGCTGGATTATTTGCACGTTTCTTCATTTAAACGTCAGAATGACTGTCCTAGGGTAGGTGTTATGTCTTCATCATAGCTTTTTTCACTTAGTATAATGCTTTTTACAGAGAGAGGGAGTAAGTTTCCCTAACGTCAATCAATAAATGACAAGGCAGAGATTTAAGCGCAGTCCAGTCTGTGTTCTCTGTGCTCGACTGCCCCACCTCCCGGTGACATATGATCCGTGTCCCTAAGGAGCTCACGGTTAGGGAACCAGTGTGTGCCGCACCTGGCCACGAAGAGAGGCATTACCTGCAATCCGCAGTGTGAACAACATGCTAGGAAAACACAGAGTGAAAGGAAGGCTCCTCAGAAGCGTCAAATGGAATATTAAGGAGAGAAACAGATGAACATCCCAGAGACTGAATTTGGGCTAAGCGAACGGAGTGCCAAATTTTAACACACAAAAGTACAGAAGTCTGGTAGTCAAATTTCATGAGTCACTCAAATTGTCCTGCTGTTTTCAGGATACTCATAATATAATTGAGAAACAAGAAACAAATGGATTTTGTTCCCTGGTTAGTGCTTTCTGCCAAAGCAACATAAAAGAAGAAAACTGGCCTAGACAATAGGACAGATACAGAGCTTAAAATTTATAGCTGTTACACAGAAATACCTGTTTCTCTATCCCTACCATAGATATTTAATCAATCTTTTAATTCTAGGCTCAAGATTTTCTTTTGAAGAGATGGAGAACTATATTAAGTTCACGGAAATTAATTTTAAAATCAACATACATTTTAATAACATGTATTCTGTCAAATGCTAAGGGAAGGATCATTAACGAGAATTTTACTCTCTAAAAATGAAAGCACTCCCTCATGCAAACCCGTGAAAAGAACATTCATTAGACATTTACCTTCTGAATCCCAGTTGTCCCAGTATTTTTTTCCTGAGCACCTGGACCTTCTGGTTTCTGAATTTCTTTCACTCCATTCACAAGGCCTGAAGGCTGCCATGAATCATCCCATATATCTTTGGGTGTAGAAAAACACCAATCCTACGGAGGAAAAAATTGCAACAATAAACTGAGATATAGTGCCACATGAGCCAAACAGAGGATAACATGGGCAAGGTGAAAGCAAGGAGGCGATGTATGTTAAACCAGAAAAGGTTTTCGTTAACTTTCTATCTCAGTGTGTCTCCCTGCATTATTGGTGCATACCCATTATCTCGAATTCTTTTGAATATACAGATCTCATAAAAACAAATACAATTTATCTGTGGTATTTTCTTTAATACTGTTTTCAGGCTACGTGATTTTTCATGAGCATCTAGTTTTTAAATGGCATAAATTATAAGGAGCAACTTAACTGCAGAAATTTCTTCTTTTTCATAACCAGGTGGAAATAAACTAAAATTTAAATATATAGTTAGAACCAATATTAGCAAATACACTCATTGCAGAGATCCAGAGGTTAAATATTACAAGACTAATGTGACAAAAACAAAATCAGGGAAAACAGTGTATTTATAGATACTAAGGCAATGACTTGGTGCCAATGATGAAAAAAAATCATGATTGAAAGGGCAGATAGGCACGATAAGTCCATGATTTATTCTTCACTGCTCCATCCTATCCCTCTTCCTACCACTACTACCTTTGGAAGAAAAAATGCATTCTTCTGAATTCTCTTCTGATAAATCACTTTGAATTCCAAAACGTATAGCTTTCCTGAGGTGTGGACAATTAAGTTTACATTTCCTTTTTTCGGTAGTGATTTGCTTTCTTTTTTCTCAAGGATCTAACCTTCTCTGGCATTTCTTCACATGACAGGTATGGCTTCCTTCCACCAAGGTTGGAGGTAAATAAGTGGGAGGCAGCATCACCTCCTTTTCCCATTTTAGCTTGCGAAGGTAACCAGTTCTCATCCCAAATATCATCACCTATGGTCACTGACTCCAGGCATGGCATTCCAGTGGGGATCCCATCCTTGAATGTATCAGAAGACAAAGAAAAGCTTTAATTTACAGTTCCCTTCACTGATGGATATTACATTAAGCGCATTTTCCAAAAACGATCTTTCCTTCTCCTACCTCATTTTCTTCCTTCAGATCCTTTGGCTCTGGGATGAACCACTTTGGATCTTCGCAGCTCTTATCTTGGGTTTTCAAAGAACTAAATTCGGAATCGTTTAATGGCTCCTCTGACTCAGATTTAAGGTGAGTGAAAGTCTTTTCATCATTAATATCTTGCTAGTAGATATGAAAGTTAAATTAGTTGATTTCTTACACTAATGCTGTTTCCAAAATCTACATGCCTATACTCTGGGGGGAATTTTTCCCTGTGGTTCATACAAATGCTACATTATTTTCTAACTCTATCCATTATCCTGGGTCTTCTCATCCTGCTAAACCAGTTCAGACCAACAAACATTCATTGAGCATACATTATGAAATGTGTAAAGGGTAGCTCTGTGGATTTAGAGCAACAGGTCTCTGCTCTAAAGCAACTCAAATATAGCAGGAAGACACACAATCAGATAATCACAGGACAACCGCCAATGTAGACAGAGCTCTCACAGAGATAGGACCAAAATATGATCAGGGGAGGAGGATGTCTAAGAAGATATAATGAAGGAGATAACACTAACTGTAAGGATGTTTCAAAAAGGAGTAGGAGTTACAGGGAACTAGGTGCATAACCGGCGGGGGAGGGGGGGGAAGAGAGAGAGAGAGAGAGAGAGAGAGAGAGAGAGAGAGAGAGAGAGAGAGAGAGAGAGAGTGGGTGTGTGTGTGTGTGTGTGTGTGTGTGTGTGTGTGTGTGTGGGAGGGGGGGCATATGGGAGTCTTGATATATTAAAATAGAGGATGGGATAGGGAAGTTTTAAGCTTTATCTTTTTTGCAAAAAAATATGCCCTTATTTCATTTTTAAGACTGAAACATGATTATTTTAAAAAAATCAACAGAGTGATGATAGGATATTCCAAATTATTTTAAAGGTTGAATTCAATTCACTATTTAAGAATCAGGAAATATAATTGTTCTAATCAAGTAATAATGACTAAGAAAAATTCAGGCTTCAGAGGTCCTTATGAGCTAAACAAGCCCAATTAGTTGTAAGGTAAACTAGAAATCTAAAATCCTTATATTGCTTTAAACATGTAGCAGTAAACATTCATATATATTTTTCAGAATAGATCAGTCTCCCAGTAGTCAAAATGGCCTTTTTTATCTTTCCAAGTAATTAGTAAATGTCTACTAAAAAAAAGATTATAGCTATAATTTTAAGTCAGCTATATAAATCATACTTAAAATATTTTCATATTTTATTCAAACAAAACAAAAAGCTTTATTGTGTCCAAAAAACACTTTTTGGCTCTCAAAATGAACACACCCTACATTCTTAGCCCAGTATCTGCTGTCATGAAGAATATAAGACTCAGAAGATGTGTTTATTTGTTCATTTGTTGAAAAATCACTTAAATTCTTACCGTGTGCTTCACTCTACTTATATCTAAAGTGTAAGTATGACAGTTCCAACCTGGGAAAGTGGTTGTGAAGACGAATGAGTTAGTATAGGTGAGTGCTTACAACAGCGCCTGCCACACAGCACGGGTTCAGTAAATGTTGCTCCTATTGTTATTATATTCTTATTTTTACTATAACTACTGGAATAATAATAATAATAATAGTTGTTGTTGTTGTTGTTGTTATTGTATTACTGTGGGTGAGAGTTGCCAAAAGGTTTATAGAGAAAGGGAAAAATGAGAACACTCGAAGAATCTGAGCAGTGTCGGGGGAAGACCGGCTTTCGGATGAGTGGGAGGGGAGCCACAGCTGCACCAAGGCAGCGATGGCACTTAGTGCCTGGGAGAGTCTGTACGAGAGGAAACGTGACTGACACAAAGGCGTAAACCAGCCAATGATGAGACAAGGTAACTGCTCAGGTCACTGTGTAAAGCTTCCCAAGTTTCCTAGGTTTGGAAAGCCTCAGTTTCCCCATCTATAAAATAAGGATAATTATCGTAACTATGTCACGGGGATTTTATGAAGATCAAATAAAATATCATACTTAAAGTGCTATTTATAATGTTTGGCACATAGTAAGTAGTCGTAAAATGTTAACAATAATAAAAAGAATCATAATATTTGCAAACACCTCTTACCAGAGAATATAAATCGCTCTCTTTTAACTGTGGACTTATCTCTCGGTCTTCGTTGAAGTAGTGCTGCTGGGAAGGATAACCCAGTTCTGACAGGATGACATCCTCTGGCCCTGCACTGGACTTAGTGTATAAAGCTATAGGATTGAGTTCTCCAAAACCCTAGGATTAAAAAAAGGAGAAGGAAGGGTTTAATTACTCAGAAAAAAATGAAAAAGCAGTTCATAATTTTCAAATGTTGTGGAAATGTATTATCTTTTAAATTTTAATAGTTAAAATTTCCATATTACAAGTTTTTCCTAGTCACAAAAATTATTAACCTCAATGTTAATGGCGATATAGACATCGCTGTCAATAATTACAAAATAAGAGATTGAGAGTGTTGTTCTTTTCTAAGAACACCTGAGAGAATTAAATACTTTGGGGTAATTCCTCAATTGTTTAAAATAAAAGCATTCACATTCTAAAGGACAATAAGCCAAATGTATTTTTTCTGTGGTCATCTGAAAATTAAGACAGTATTCTGCATTAAAAAGACAGGAATCTCACAGATGTCTCAAAGATTAAAGAATAAACTGAATAACTTTCTGTTTTAAATTCTCTTATACCCCGAAGTGCCGAGATTAAATAAAATACATTACAAAATACATCCAGACTGCTCACCTTAGAAGGGACATTTTCTCGGCATACGATAGCATGGCCCTCTGTTCTCAAGACATGATGGAAATAGATGTCTTCATTTGAGGATGTATCACACAGAAAAATGTTAAGGATTCCATCTACATATTCATCTACCACCCCCACTAATGGCTTCAAACCACACAACTTCTGGAACTGCAAAATAGCTCTTGATGTCCAATATTCCTGAAATATAATCAAGATATGAGATTCAGATGATAAATTCAAACATGAAATTCAGTAACCAAAACCAAAGATAAAGTCATAATGAACTAGAGATTTCAGCAGAAAAATAAAACCATAAAAATACTATAACAACACATAGGAGGATATTTATGATTTGGGGATGAAAAAGTCAAAATAAAAGGAAAATGATGAAAAATGTGATTACTGAAAAAATTTATTATTTATGTAGTGAAAACTTTAATTTCCAGAAATGGTTAGGAGGGTTGGGGGCTGGGTGGAAAAGGTCAAGGGATTAAGAAGTACAAATTGGTAGTTATAAAATAGTCACGGGGATATGACGTACAGCAGAGAGAATACAGTCAATGATATTGTATGCCGGGTGGGCACTAGACTAATTGGAGGGATCACTTCATAAATTATACAAATGTCTAACCACTATGTCATATACCTGAAACTAATATAAAATCATATTGAATGTCAACTCTAATTGAAAAAGAAAAAGAAAAAGAAAAGAAATGGTTGAGTTAGATTACTGGAACCCTCTCACATAAATAATTAAAATTCTGGATAAAATATTTTCAAAATGTATCCAAAAAGCATCACAGAACTGATAAGAGTATAATTAATTATCAAGCCAAAATGAAAGGGAAAGTGGGAACAATTTTTGCCTTAAGGGTATCTGCTAATCCAGGCAACTTTGAACTTTGGTCAAAGGGAAAAGAAATCAAAACCAGTGTCTGCCCATGCATGGTAGGGAGTAGAGAGGAGAACTCTTTTTCATTATGCTGAGTCCTTGTAGGGGTACACATTCAGGATAAGGGGGACAAGAAAGAAACTAGCTTTCATATGGACTTGCAGCTCCATTTTTGCACCACTTGGGTGGTACACAAATCCTCAAGTTGTTCGTTGAAAGTCACAAGGTTCTGGCCTGGTAGTATTCCTAGGCAACTGGCAAAGTGAATGTAAATCTCCCTGGAGGTAGGCAATCTCAGCCTATATTATTCAACTATTTTTACAAATAATTTTTCAAAGATAATGAGCAGTATATAGATAGACAAAGATAAAAAATACAAAGGAACAACAAATCATAAGAACAAGGAAAAACAACATAACAAACAAACCCTCAAAAACTTTAGACATTTGAAATTCTAGACAAATTGTAAAACTAAATTTACTCAGCTTAAAGTAAAAACAAACAAACAAACAAACAAATGGATTAATTTGAAAGCTTCTACGGAGACTAGCAGTTTATAACAACTGATCTAGTAGAATTACAGGGAACTTTTAGAAAGTAAAAATACAATAATCAAAATTAAAAATTAATAGATTGATTCAACAGCAGATTGGTAAAATTAAAGAGTAAATCGGTAAACTGGAAGATAAATTGAAAAAATTAACAGAATGCAGCATGGAAAGATAGAAATATGTAGAATAACAGAAGAGAGGTTAAAAGATATGGAAGATAAATTGAGAAAGTTTAACATACTTGAGTTACAGTCCAAGAAAAAAGAGAGGCAGGCACAGAGGGGCTATTTATATCTATATCTATCTCTCTATATATGAATATGGGGAAAAGACAATACTTGAAGAGATAATGGCTGGGAATTTGCCAGATTTAATGAAGAGTAACAAGGCACAGATAAAAAGAAGTCCAATGAACCACAAGGTAGAATAAATAAGAATAAAGCCACACATAAATATACTAAAACTGAAGAACACAAGCAACAAATAAGAAATCTTAAAAACAGCTACAAAAAGGACATTGCCTACAAAGGAACGACCATTAGACTGACAGCTGACTTCTCAAATATGATAGGGAAACCAGAAACCAGTGTAATGATATCCTCAAGGTGCTAAAAATATTAACTACTGATCTCGAATTCTGTACCTACTGAATACATCTTTCAAGAATAGGTGCAAAGTAATATTTTCAGGTAAACATAACTAAATTTGCCATCAGCAAACCCTCATAAAATGAAATCTTAAAGGATACAATTCAAATAGATGGAAAATGTTCCCAGACGAAGAGTTTGGTAATAAGAATAAAGAGCTAAGAAACAGAAATATGTAACTAAATCTAAATGGATATTATTACTTTTTCCAGTCAATGTCCTGAGGGGTTAAAAACTATTAACATTAATTACACAACAAAAGTA